GTCAGCCATGGTATTATTAATAAATTTTTTTCAACAACCAACTTGCATTACTTTAAACTTCTCAAAGTTGAAATTCACAAAACAGTTCTGCGATCAAATTACAGTACAGTCAATGTTCGCTTCCAGTTTATTATAATAAGAGGAAAACATTAATAGCTCATAATTCTGCCATTGGCTATTTTGTATAGTTTTAACTGCAGTTTGGTAAGTCATTGTTGAAGAACACAAATAGCAGTGATGGAAAATCTGATCCCTAAGGTATGCCAATTGTCACCCTTATCCACTCGGATGTTTATTAGCTAGCCAACCTGTGATCCAATTAATTAGCTTGCCCAAAATACCATAGGCATGAATCTTATGAAAAATTCTTTGTGTGCTAATGTGTTGAATGCTTTGGCAAAGTTAATAAAAAGGTGTCGACGGTAAACTGCTTCCATTAAAATGTTATGGGATTCAATCAGGTTTGTTTTTTTTAAAAAACAAACCTGATTATTTTATAAAATAAACAAAGTTTATTTTATAAATAAAATGTTTTGTTTGGTTAAGATCTAGTGTGTACTTTAATGTCGTCAATATAAAAACAATTCAATTTTTTTGTTTGGTCCCCACTAACCAAAAAAAAAAAAAAAAATTATTTTATACTATAATTTTTTGGTAATATAGATAAAGCAAACTCAATTGCTATGCACATTACTAAGTAAATTTATTTTTTACTTTATCAACAAAAACAGTTTTTTATTTTATTAAAATCTTATTAAAATTTTTTTTGTCTTTTGTCTTCTGGTACCCTTACTATCTTGGCGCCTGGGGCACCTAAGCAGCCCTGCGCGCACACACATATATATACACACACATACACATATAAATGCACACTATATACATATATATATATATATATATATATATATATATATATATATATATATATATATATATATATGTGTATATACAGTGACTTCCAAAACTTAAGCAACTTCTTTGGAAACAACATGACTAAATTGAAAAATCTTAATTTATAGATACAAATTATGTTATTTTTTCATTTAACTTTGCAAAATCATACTTATTAATACAATTTAAACAAATTCTTAAAATAATTTTATATTTAACAGAAAAAAAGTATAGTAAATTGCGTGCAAAATACCAGTATTAGTATTTAAAAAAATCTAAATAGACTTCAAAACAAAAGCCACTTTAACAATGAAACCAAAGTAAACAATAAATTAACCACAAAAATATATTTAATTTCAGTAAATCACTTTAAGTAGATAATCTTCTTTTTTTTTAATTAGTTATTTTGTTTGGAAAGTGCAACTTTATTATTAAAATATCATTTTGTTGCAACAATAAACTTTGATATATAATTCTAACATTTTAGGATTAAATAATGGACAGAAATAAATATAGTACTATATTTAAGCAAAAAGTAATTGCTGATTTTAGAGATGGAGTTTAACAACATAAACTATCTGTCAAGTATAATGTAAAAAATTGGTGATCAACCGATGGATCAGCAGAAACAAAGTCAGAGACAGTGTCGAAACAAAGCACAACGGGGGTCGTCCTCCCAAAACATCAAAAGTAACTGATCGTAGATTAATGAGATTTGTGAAAAAGCTTTTGCTACTGCTTGAGATGTAATTAATGAATTAGAACCAAAAGTTTCAGAAAATACTGTTAGAAGACGTCTTGATATAGCAGGACTATTTACTTACAGAGCTGCAAAAAAACCGTTTATTTAAAAAAAAAACTAGAAAAACTAGATTAGAACTTGCCCATGCTCATAAAAAATGGATAGTAGAACAATAGTGTCACATTTTATGGAGTGATGGGTCAAAATTTAAACTGCATCATTCAGATGGAAAAAAAACAACGTAAGATGCATAAAGTGCAAGCGAATAAACCCAAAGTATACAAGGGCTGTTTTTAAACATGGTGGTGGTAAAGGAGTGATGGTTTGGGGATGTTTTTCGGGTTTTTCCGGTTTGGGACCATTATTTCAAATCAAAAGCAATATGGACTGTTTCGTATAAAAAGATATTTTGGAAAAACAAATGGTTCTATTTGCTGATGATAATATACCTTTAAGATGCCAATTCCAGCACAACAATGACCCTAAACATGCTTCTAAACTTATTAAAACCTGGTTTAATACTAACCAAATCAGTTTAATGAAATGGCCAGCTAATTCACCAGACCTCAACCGCATTGAAAACCTTTGGAAGCAATTAGACAACGCCATCCAACTAAAAGGAACATTTACTAATGCTGATCAGTTGTACATCGAGCTTAAAGGGACTACCATGTCCCAAGACATGTTGTGTTCATATTAAAGAGAATGTTAAAAAAAAAAATGTCTGACGAAATTTTATTTGATTACAACAAATTAATAAATGTATACCAAGAAAAACAAATCTTGTTGTTTTAGTTGAAGCTTGTCTTCTCCATTTTCTGCGGTATTTGAAGTCTGTAAAATAAATGCAATTTTCCAGGCGCATTAAACAGACTTGATAATTAATTCAAGCGCGTTTAATTCATAGAAGTTTTAGTACATAACGTCATTGGAAACATTCTAGAAATTCTTTAAAAATTTTACCATTAAATTTTACTAAATTAAATAACTATAGTTAGTTATTTTATTTTCTAAAATCTTCACATTGAAAAAAACTTGTTTTTTTGTAGCTATCAGAGCCGTGGCTACATGGACCACGGCTATGGTGAACCTAGGGACCCCTATGGCGCCAAATCGAGTTCTATAATATCTCCGATGATTCACGAGTGTGTTCTTTACATTTTGATGCAAGTTGTTTTGACAAATCTAACAATTAATAAAACCAAGCACTAGGAAAAGATATAAAAAATAAGAATATACTAATAAAATATATAACTTGTAATTAACTTTCAAAGTTTTGACAATTTATAAAATATATATTATAAAACATTTATTTTTGTAAACAAATGATAATAGTTTAAAAGATTTACAGCTTTACATTTTTACAGCTTTGTGGCTCCGAAAATAAGCCATAATATTAAAGTAATAGTTCATTTGATAATATATTCTTAAAACAATTTATGCTAGATATCTCATAACGCAACAAATCGTAAATAATACATTTCCCAAAACATTTCAATAGAATACTCTAGAACTTTATTTCGCTTAATCAGTGTATTTTTTTAACCAATAGAATTAGTTTGTTTGTAAATTTGGCGGGTTTTTAGTGTTCGCGAATATTCTTTTTATTCTTCTGCAAGATGTTTTAAAAAAATTCAAATTAATTATGCTTCCATGTATGTCCATAAAGTAAAAATTAATATATATATATTAATTTTTTCAATTTTTAAGCCCCCACCATAATATATATTGGATGTTATAATAATGGAAATATAAATAATGAAATAAGATCACCTTGATACCAAAAAATACATTTTTGAAAATCAGAGAAAAAATGCGTTATTATTTAGATTAAAAATTATTTTATCTAATATTTTGAAAGAAAAACTTATAATTAAAGAAATCAAAATAAATGTGGTCTAGACGATTATTTAAAAAAATTTGCGCAAATAAAATACTATTTTGTTTTTTATTTCATTTTGTTTTTAATTTTTTTACAAACACATTTTAGAACTTTAAAATATAATAAAAATGAATATGATTTGGAAATTGCATGTAAAAAATAATAATCGGTGTTTTAAACAAACAAACAAAAAAATCTATGGCGTCATGTAATAAAACTTCTATGAATTTAACGCACTTGAATAAATTATCACGACTGTATAATGCGCCTGGAAAATTGCGTTTATTTTACAGACTCCAAATACCACAGAAAATGGAGAAGACAAGCTTTGACTAAAACAACAAGATTTGTTTTTCTTAGTATACATTTATTAATTAGTTTTAATCTAAAAAAATTTGCCCTAACGTTTTTTTTAAACATTCTCTAATATGAACACAACATGTACTAGAAATTTAAAGAGCAGAAAATAAGATTCACCGCTTGCTTGAATTTAAAATGTTACATTTTGAAAAAACTTAGTCATAACATTTCATAACTATGAATGGAAAAATAAATATTGTTATTCTTCATTGCCATGCAATTGCATGCAATATTCTTAATATGCAATATTCTTCTATAATTAAACAACATTTGTTGTTGTTTTTGATGAGACTGTAATTATAACTTAATTTCGTTATGCTACTTACGAATAAAGAAATTTATTATTAATTATAAAGTATTAAATATACTCGTAAATATAAAAGTTACAAGCTAGTTTTTACTATTTTCAAAACCTTGTGTTTTTCAAAAATATTTCTTTTGATGACACAGATGATATAATGGTTCGTCCATAAAGGATGTCAAACAGAATTTAAATAATAATTAGAAGTAGAAGATCATTGGCTTTCCTCCGCTTTTATTTCAACGTTATATTAGGATTAAAAATAAATAAGTTATATTATTTATAATAATAATATATTATTATAAACTTCTATTATAATATTCTATTATAAAACAATCAGTGTATATTAATAATAATTAATATATACTGATTGTTTTATAATAGAAAATAATAAAATTCCTAATATATATTTGGAAATCGGACCTTAATTTGCTGTGCCGTTATGAAACCATGTTTAATTTTGTGTTGATTTCATGTTCATCTCCAATGTTACAGACAATATTTTATTTTATTTTTGGCACTATTCAATCAAATTATGCAGCGCTGAAATGGAGTAGAAAAAAAAGAATATAGAAAAAAGACCCCACGCATTCCCGGAACACAAATTTAATCTCAGCGGAGAGGAAGGGGTCAAGATTTTGACAAATTTTCAATTTCCTTAAAACGCTGTTTCAAATTTATTCCTGGTTAACACCCCAATATATATATATATATATATATATATATATATATATATATATATATATATATATATATATATATATATATATATATATATATATATATATATATATATATTAATAAAAACCTTTAAAAAGATTTACCATTTTCCAAATTCGTAGTGTTAATATTTTGATTCGAAAATTTAGATACCAATGTTACATTTTTTCTTATATCTAAATTAAATCATTAAAATAAAAATTGATTTAAAAAGACAATCTTTAGCTTCAAGATAAAATTCAAACAATTTATACTTTATATACATATATATATATATATATATATATATATATATATATATATATATATATATATATATATATATATATATATATATATATATATATATATATACATACATACATCAGGCTTTCACAGGAAGACGTGCGATTTCATGTCTTTATATGACCACACAAAAAAAAAAAAATGTTTTAACGATTTGACCACGGCATATTTTTAAAATTTAAAAACGCGCTACAAAAACTTACCTAAACTTATCTGAAAAAAAAATTCAAAAAATAATAAATATTAAAGAAAGAGAAAATAAAAAAAAAAAAACTTAGTTAAAGCAAAAACACAAAAAAAAAAAAAAAAAAAAAAAAAAAAATATATATATATATATATATATATATATATATCTATATTTATCTATCTATCTATCTATCTATATATATATATATATATATATATATATATATATATATATATATATATATATATATATATATATATATATAACGCAACTAAAACAAAACTCATCAAACTAAAATGCTTAGTCTATTTAATTTACGCATTAAAAAACCTTTCAATTTTTGTTTCAACATTTTTATATATTTTTTATTTGTTTAATATGTTCAAAAGTTAAATATTTCCCATAAAAAATACATTGTTATATAAATAAAATAAAAAAACATTTTATAAATACTTTTTTTTAAAATTTATTAGAAGTGTTTTTTTTTTTACTTCATTAAAAGGGTTTTGATAATATAAAAGCATTTAAGATCAAACTTATTAAATTGTAACGGTTTTTTTAAACTTTTTTTTTTTAACGAAGTTTTATTTATCTTTTTAAATGCCTTAACTTTAACCATTCTTACATTTAAATTCGTTAAAGAGACTTTCGTAGTCATAGAATGTCATCGTTTATAAAAACAAAACAATTTTTTATTTTTTAATAAGATTTATTTTAGAAATGAACACAAACAATTTATATGTTTTAAATTAAAAAATATATACAACTATTAATTATATTTAAAAAACAAAACTTTTTTTCAGTAAATTGTTACTTTATTTAAAATCGTTTCGCTAATATAAAAACATTTGTTGAGAAGTTTTGATATATATATATATATATATATATACATATATATATATATATACATATATATATATATATACATATATACATATATATATATATATATATATATATATATATATATATATATATATATATATATATATATATATATATATATATATATATATATATATATATATATATATATATATATACTATAACATATTTATATGCGCAATTGCTCACTTTTTTTGCTAGTCTAAATTAAGTGAGCGTTTTTAGAAAACGATGAGGGAAAACGAAGAATAATGAATGAAAAGGTTGCTGACCCATACCAAACCCTCAGTCGATGTAGCAGCACTCCACTGCGAGTCAGGCTATTTGTCAGTCGATGTATGTACTGAAGCCCCCAGCAGCAGGCTATTAGACGTTAGGTGAGTATGACATCATCATGCTCACCTAACTCAGCAGTATAACATATATACTCATAAAGATTAAACAATGATTACGAATAGACTAGTGGCCAAGCATCTAAAGCATAAAAATAAAAAGGGTTTACTAAACATGAACGCATTTTTATTTTTATTCTATTTTTTAATTTTATTAAAGATGATTTTAAAATATTTATGAAGTTTTTAAAAACTTTAAATTGAAACTTTTTTTCTACATAATTACCACCTCAAGAAGAAACAATAGTCTTAACTTCACTACTCCAATACGTGAAACATAATAAACATACCACCACACAGAGAAACATATCAAGTGTGGTACTACCAGAAACATGACACGACTCAAACTTTATTCCTATTGATAACAAAGCAAATACTCTAATGCTCTACCACAGCACCATTAAGAAACATGTTACTTCATGAAACATTAAGAAACATGCTACTTCATGAAACATTAAGAACCATATTACTTCATGAAAACATTAAGAAACATGTTACTTCATGAAACATTAAGAAACATGTTACTTCATGAAACATTAAGAAACATGTTACTTCATGAAACATTAAGAAACATGTCACTTCATAAAACATTAAGAAACATGGTACTTCATGAAACATTAAGAAACATGTTGCTTCATGCACTGCAAGCTTTGAGAAAAGGTATGTATATGTATAAATTGCACATACATTATCATATAAATGAATTTCATTTATATCATATAAATGCATTTCATTTATATCATATAAATGCATTTCATTTATATCAACTTTTCAACAATTTCATTAATGAGGTAATAATATAAAGCAACAATTGATTTAGGTGAGGCTGTTTCAGCATTTTTTAAACTGAATTTTAAAACCACAATGAATATGAATTGTTAATCGATCCTAATCTTTCCAAATTGCATTACGCTTTTTTACTTAAAGAATGAGAATGAAAAATGTATTAGAATATGATTAATGGAAATGAGATTAAATTATGTGTGATTAACAATTATAACTTTTGTGAAAAAATAATAAAATTTGCAAACCATTGAAATAAAATATTGAATAGTAAACAATAAATAAACATAATATAAATTATACTGATATTGCACAAAAATTTTTTTGTTATTTCTTTATATTTATTTGGCATAATTTTGTAGTACCATGTACCCAAAACATGGTCATCCCCAAACAAGATGTCTCACATCCTTTTGTTAAAGTAGAAGTAGTCAAGATAACAATTTAACTATAATTATATATATATATATATATATATATATATATATATATATATATATATATATATATATATATATATATATATATATATATATATTATATATATATATATATATATATATATATATATATATATATATATAACTATATAGCTTATAATTTATTTAGCAAGTTTCCGCAAATACCAAGAAAATACCAAGAAGTTTATCTTTGTTTTTTAATTAAGAAAAAAATAAAGATTAAAACTAAAATATAGTTGAATTGTAAAAAACTGTAATAAGAAAACTGTAAATAATTGTAAACTTGTAAAAAAAAAAACAACTGTATATAGTATGTATGGTAAAAAAAATTGTAAACTGCAAATGTATATGGTAAACTGCAAATGTATATGGTAAACTGCAAATGTATATGGTAAACTGCAAATGTATATGGTAAACTGCAAATGTATATGGTAAACTGCAAATGTATATGGTAAACTGCAAATGTATATGGTAAACTGCAAATGTATATGGTAAACTGCAAATGTATATGGTAAATACCAAATGTATATGGTAAACTGCAAATGTATATGGTAAACTGCAAATGTATATGGTAAACTGCAAATGTATATGGTAAACTGCAAATGTATATGGTAAACTGCAAATGTATATGGTAAACTGCAAATGTATATGGTAAACTGCAAATGTATATGGTAAACTGTATATAGTATGTATAGTAAAAACTGTATATAAAAAAAAAAAAAAAAACTGTATATAAACTGTTAATAGGCTTTTTTGGTTAAGAGTTATTTTCATTTTGTTATTAAAACATTTAAATTGCAGCTGGTATGAAATTACCTCTTAATTTTAAAGATAAAAATTTAAACGACAACAAAAAAATATTAGAAAAAAACCTTTCATGCATTTATTTTTTAAAACTAATATTTATATATAATATATGATAATATAATATAGCGCTCTACCACTACACCACTACCGCGTATATAAAAACTATTTTATATATATGCAATTAAAAAAGATTATAAATTTGAAAATCATTATAAAATTCTGGTTCTTTCGGTTAATATATTTTTAGAAAAAAAAAAAAAAAAAGAAAGTAATTAAGGGTTGTTGGGGTTGACTTTTTTTAAAAATTATACAATTTTTTATTAGTTACTTTCAAACAGGATAAAAAAAAGTCATAAGCCTAATATGTATTTATATATTACCAGTTACCAGCTACTAAAAAGTTGCTAATTTGCAATTGAATCTTGTGGACATAATAAGTATTGGTGAACAACCCAATACAGTGTTTGAAACCTTATTTTCTCTCCACCATTGTGAAGAATCTTCATTGAAAAGAATACGCTTTCCTCAGTTACAATCATTAAGTAAAAACTTCGATACTATAAGCTATCAAAAATTTGGGTTTTAGCTGTGGGGTTTAGATCCTCATCACCAACATATCTAATAAAATGGATCACTTACCAATAAATCTAAGAAAATTGATCAGACATTTTTTTCAGTTCATTTGCTGATAGCAGTGCCAACTTTGTCTTTCTTTTAGTAAAAACATTAGTATCTTTATCTTCTAGTAAATTTACAAAGTTATCTACGCTGTCAAACAAACTTACACAAAGTTGTAACTAATTTACAGCACAATTGCCATTAGGAGTATTAGCAAGCTTTGTTGCACAAACCATATTTTAAATTATATTAATCATGAATGAAACAGTGAATCTTTTGGGGGGTTATGGTAGCATATTATTAAATTCTCCATAAATGATATCCTGAGTGTCGACCATTAAATGGATAGCACTTTAGAGTAATTTTTATTATATCAAAGAAAAAATTGAAACTAAGCTCAGCCCAAATACTGGTAGTAAATGAAATAATAGTATGCACACACCAAAAACATTTTTGTAATCAAGAGTTGTTGGGGGTGAATTTTTTTTTATTTTTTATTTTTTCATTCTGGTAACATCTCATTAAATTTTTGATGAATAATATCTCCTGAGTGCTGACCATTGAATGGATGGTACATAAAGTAATTTTTATTATATCGAAGGAAACATTAAACACATGCAACATTTTTGTTACAAATTTTTTTATGACATTTGTAAAAAAAAAAAAAAATGAATTAAATAATAAAAGAGCTTAAATAGTTACCTAGCTTTGTAAAGTCTTCATTGTTGGATGGAGAAACCTTAAAAAATTATTTCCAAAAAATGTAAAAACATGTTTAAATGTTTAAACAACAATTTCACAGTAAACTAATATTTCTTGTACTTTTAATTTAAATAATAAATTTATTCCTAAAAACTATATAATTCTAGATATTGTATATGAAAATGATACATATTACTTGAACTCATTATACACTAAGAAACATATTTGCTATGAAACAACTGATATGTGTTGATATGATAAATTAATGTTTGAGAATTTTTACCAAATTATGTGGTCAAACTAAAAAAGTTGTTTTAATAAAAAATTGTTTTAATAAAAGTCATTCAATTTTAATGTTTTTTGATTACCTTTTGATAATTTGATGAATTGAATGGTTTGATTCATCAACGTAATGTTTATTCAATTAAAAGTTTTGTTTGACTACATTTTTTGATTTCGATAACTTTTAATTTCCCCTCTACTGTAACTATCTTTAAAACAATTGAAGACATAAGTGGATAAAGGCATCATGTCACAAAAAAAAATTTCTACCTTTTTTTTACGAAAAATGGTTTTGAGTAATGCTCTTTCACAAGAACTTAAAAACAGAACAAAAATGTGCCAAAACACCATTTTTACAGTCGATGAACAAGCTATGTTAACAATATAACATGGATGTAGGAGTTAACAATAGATAACATGGATGTAGGTGTTAAAAGATTTTAATAAACTTATCTAAGCTATTCTGATTACTGTGATGCTCCATAATATTTACATATCTTTATTATAAAAAAAAATCTAGAAAAAAATGTGTTCAAAACTTCAACTCCAGATATCTGACATATCAATGTGGTTTCAAAAACTTTTTTGAATATACGTAAAATAAACAATGTGGATATTAATTATTTCAAGTTACCATAATAATTGTTTTTAACTGCTATATTATTTTTATTGACCGATTAATTATATCCAATATCCCAACAATACATAATTAAAATGTCATCAAACTTTAAATTAATGTCATAATTTTTTATCATGTAAATAAAAGTATTTTTATTATCCAAAATATGTCTCTTTAATACAATAAGAGTTCATAGTGAAAGCTTAAATATCATTTTCAATATTTATGAATAGCAATGACGAATCAAACAATCAACAATGAAAACGATTCAAGGATAATTGAACTTAAATGAAAATTCACCATTAGAAATTGCAAATATTCTTGAACTTAAACGAACTACAACCTATTCAAATTTTTATATTAAAAAATATAAAAATGTTTTGTCGATAAAACTGCAATTAAAAGGTGGTTCTAGAAACAAAAAATTAACAGAAGAATCCAATGTACTAATTGAACTGACGATGATTGTGGAATAACTCTTAAGGAAATTAAACAAAGACTTGAACAAAAATCCATTTCAGTCAATCATTCTACTATAGCAAGATGCATTGATAGTTTTAATTATACTTTGAAAAGTGTTCACAATATTCCAGAGAGAAGAAATTCTGAAGGCGCTATTAATGAAAGATCCACTTATGCAGAAAGATTCATGAACATTTTGTCCTCTATGAATGACAATAAAATATTCTTTATTGATAAAGTAGGATTTAGTCTTTCAAAGCGAATTAGAAGAGGACTTTATTTAACTGGAAAGAGGGCCACACAAACAGTGACCAATACACGATCAAGAAATATTTCATTTTGTTGTGCAATGAACAAAAACAGAATTTTAAAAAATGAAGCACAAACAAGAGCATTTAATACAGAAAGTTTTTTATACTTTATTCATTTATTATTAGTACAATCAGCTGTTAATGAAGTTGTTGGAGCTATCTTAATTTTAGACAATGTTCATTTTCATAAAGTTTCTGTTGTTCAAGATGAAATAATACGTGCTGGGCATTCTTTGATATTTTTGTCTCCATATTCATCTTTTTAAATTCTATTGAAAATATGGTTTCTGAATGGAAAGTTTATCAGAAGATGTTTGTCTAGAACTGAAGAGGAACTGCTTAAAAATATACCAAATGGTGCATTGAATATTACTAGCACAAACTATAATAATTATTTTGGGAACGTGCTTAGGTATATGATTCCGTGTTCAAGAAGAGAACCAATTATTGAAGAATAAACTTACTTTAGTATTTTTTTAATCTTTATTAGGCGAGTATTTGCAATTACAATATTTTATATATGATTTTTTTGTTTAAAATTTATTTTGTATAAAAAACTAAAAAAATTGAATAAATGAACTTAGAAAGAATCTAACTATTTTATTTCTGTATTTTTTAAAGCATTCTTAGCACTGTCAAAATCGAATGCAAAACAGTCAAAATCAAATGCAATGGTGACGAAATTGAATGAAATATTCTCAAAATGTACTGATACAATGTTGAAATTGAATGATACGTTGGCGAAATGAAGTGGAAAACCCTGTAATTATATTTTAAATAAAAAAACTGAAACTATATTATGCAATAGCGCTTTGAATATTTATAGCGATTTGAATATTTTTCGATAAGTACTAAAAAATTTATTTGTAGTTTAAGTTTATAAGGTAAAAAACCTCGAAAAAAAATAAAAAATTTAAATCTATGATATACTTTTACATACTTTGCATAGATAAGAACCATGAAAAAAAAATTAAAACGAAGAAAACGTTTTTATTTCACAAGAATTGATCTATAGTTAAAGGCTTAGTAAGTTTTAGTAAGTTTAGAAGACTACTACTTGTGTTTGGCTCTAAATGTACTCTAAATGTAGATAAAACACTATCTTTTGATATAGTTAATTTTCATCCGGTTATTTTTAAATTATACTTTAACCGCTTAAAATCTGTAAATTATTAAACCTTAAGATATATATACATACATATAAACATACACACAAACGCACACACAGATATATATATATATATATATATATATATATATATATATATATATATATATATATATATATATATATATATATAAAATAAAATTCATAAAATATTTAAAGTTTTAAGCTTATTCAATATGTTATTTAAAATTATTTGTTTTGATTTTAATGATTTATATTTTATAAAACAAAACAAAAATTGTGAATTGTAAATAATATTGAGTATTGATATTTAACGTTATGCTCATTATACAATGTGTTTGTTAAATCAACAAACCGCAGAAATGAGATATATATCCAGAGTGGTGTTTATCTATAAATATTTTTTGAGTTTTTCTGCTTTACTTTGTGAAAAACATGTTCTTTTGGTCTTTTGTTTTGGTTATTGACTTATTTACTTATTTTGTTTATTTTCACTCTTTGGATCGGTCTGTGGTTTTAGTGACAATACCGGTTTTTAGCAAAATCCGGCTAGTACCAATTTCCAGATCAAGATTCAAGTTATGCCCCAATTTCCAGACACACATAAATTAAAACTCATCATGATTACACATAAATTACAGACATGCAAAAATTAAAACTCATCATGATTACACATAAATTACAGACATACATAAATACAATATTTAAAAGCAATTACCTGTTGACTTGTAAAAACATTTACCAAATCTATACAACTTTTATTGAGAATTTCTAATTCCTAAAAAAAATAGTTATTTGTAAACAAGTTAACATATGAGCTAGCACATTGAATATATTTTGTATATAAAAAAAGTTATTTATTACAATAGCTTCAAACTTAACAGCAACATAAAACATAAGAACTGATCTATATTTCAAATTATGATAGATATTATTATTGTAATATTAATAATTTTTTATTCTGGTTGCTTTCTCTAGTAAAAGTAAAGAACTTTGTTAAAGTTCAAGCCTGACAAGACTTGACAAAGATAACAAAGATCCGTGAAACATAAACTATTAAACATATTACTTAATTTATCCTTATACTTTTATGTGCTAACTAATATCATGCATATAAAGCATAAATAAGCTCATTTAACTAAAATGTTTTTTTAACTAAAAGTTTTCAAAACTATTTATTATTGAATCAAATTGAAAATAAAAACAAAGAAAGAATAAAAAATAGACAGAGTTTATAATATTTATAATAGTTTATTATTTTTGTCAAGTTTAATATTCATGGATGGTTTCTACAACGCTATTTTCTTTTTTAAATAAGTCAATTTTAAATAAGAAATACAAACTTGAAGGAGTTCAAGTAATTTTTACAACTAGATGATAGAGAGACTACTAAAGTAATAGTTTAAAAAATTTCATATTTGGAAAACCTCATACTTACAGCTACTTAAAATCAAAATTCAAATAAAAAAATAAAAACATATTACAATTTTATATTATTCATTAACTCTTTTGGCGCCACGGTAAATTCTCGAATACCCTGCAATTTAATGATTGTTTTTCTAAAAGCCGTTACTACCCACTTGCCGGTTACTAAAAGCAAAAGCGGAGCCGGTGACAGCGGCTCGCAGCGTTGGATGAGTTAAGTCATTACAAAAAATTTTTATTTAAAAAAGAAAAAAGAAAAATTTTTTCAAAAAATGTAAAAACATGTTTAAATGTTTAAACAACAATTTCACAGTAAACTAATATTGAGAAAATATAGTTAAAATATTAATTTATTAGTAACCTACCTTCTTAAAGAACTTTGTATTATTTTGAATCAGATCTATCTGGTATTGACTTAGTGCTTCAAGAGCACTTTTGAGTTCTTTGTGCGTTGCAGGTTTTTCTTCTCCAGATTTTTCTTCTCCAAGAAAAATCTGTGACAAACTTTTGAGTTGATTTAAAGAAACCTATAAGAAATAATTACACACAAAAAAAAAGAAGACAAAACTACAAATATTGAATATCAAAGTTCATTTTTGATTATAAATGGATTAATTTAAATAAATTTTGATTAGAAAAATAAAAACAGGAAAAAATAACACAAATTAACTTTTGTTTTTAATAGATAACTCAAACAAACAAAAAAAATGCTTAAGAAACCTTAAAAAAACAGATTTTTTATTTTCTAGCATATATTTTTATGTGTGTGTGTGTGTGTGTGTGTATATATATATATATATATATATATATATATATATATATATATATATATATATATATATATATATATATATATATATATATATATATATATATATATATATATATAAATATATAGTGCATTAAAAAAAAAAAAATTAAATATTTTTTATCTTTTGTTTAATTTTGCAGTAAAATCAATGATTCCTTTTTATATTCTTTTAAAGTTTTATATGTATGATTAAAGTTTTTATAATTTAAATATTTTTAATATACTAAAAATAACTTTAATAAACTAAAAAAAAAAAAAAAATGTCTAAAGAATTAGAGCGTAATAAATTACAACAATCTTTTTAAATTAAAATTTCCTCATGTTTAAATAATAATTTTAATGAGTTTAAAAATAATAGATAATTATAGTTACTTCGATGTTATTAACCTCCGTTTTTCATTTGATAAAAAGCTTTGATATATAAATATTGCTAAAATATTTCCAATGATTATTGATCACTTTTCTGTTTTTTGCAATACTTTTGATTGCCTGACTTTATGCTGGACTGTTGAAACTTATAACACTAATCAATGAATGTTTAATCTTTCTGAATCTCATGTCATCCATGTGTTTAATTTACAAAAAGTCTGTTTTTAACGCTTTTATATTATAAGTTATTCTTTTTAAATGCCAAATGTAATATTTTTGATAGATGACATTTAGTAAAATTTCAACCTTTTTATGTATATTAAAATTGTAAAAAATTTTATATTCTTTTAGCCATGCCAGGCAATATGTTTTTAATCTTGTCATGCTTTGCTTAATGTCTCATTTTTTGCGTAAATTTGTGTTAAAGTTTTTAAAGCAATGACATAAAATGTTAAAACATTTTCTCTAATATTATTTTGCGATTTTGATGTCTGATCCTTAATAATCTGTTTCATATCACATATAGTTTAAGTAAATTTTTTAAGTTTATAATGGTGTAACAATGTTTATATTTGACAATAAATATCTAAAAGATGTTTTTTCGTATTTTGTTTTGATAAAAAGTAACAATAAATTATAGAAATTTAACTATGTTCATCATTTGCCTATTTATTTAAAAATCAAAAGAGGTTTTGATTAATTCCTTAAATGTCATAAAATACAAAATTGTATTGGTGATACTAATCTTTTTACAGAACAAAATTATCTCTAGTATTTCAAAAGTTATAAAAGTTTTAGTAACACTATTAAAGTCACAAAATAACAAGAAGCCATAAAGCTCACTTTGAAACAACTGTGCAAACAAAAATTAAAACAATGAAAATTTTTTTTTTTTTAAATTGATCTGCCAAATAAAACAACAGTTGACCTTTAATTTAATATGTTAGCAGGTCATGTGTTTAGCATTTTCAGTTTTCTGTATAAAAATGAGTGAAATGGTTTGAAAGTAACTAAAAAGATATTGGCCTTTTTTAAAAAAAAAATTACCACAACGACCTTTAATATGCAAATGCACAGTTTAAACCCAAATGTAATGTGTCATGTAACTGACCAAAAGAACTAATTTAAATGATTTTTGTATCATCAGCATATAATTTTGAAATAGCAGACTAAATAAAGAGCCTTGAGGTACTCCATTGTACACCTCAGCCCATGTTAAAACATAATCTTATATAACTGCTCTCTGCCTTCTATCAGATAAAAAAGCTTCAATCCAAGTAAGTGCCAATGAACACAATATGATTTAAGTTTTGAAATCTTTGATATGGAATGGAATTAAAAGCTTTTGCAAAATCAAGTAAAACCACATCCACTGGAATTCCTTGATCAACATATCTTGTAATACAATTTGTAGCTTCAAGTAAACTTGTCGTACATAAAGCAAGATTACAGGCCTTGCAATAAAGCGTCGGGCAATGTGAATTTTACGTCGTCCAAGAGGGATTTTGCGTGTAGCTAGGGCTATTTGCGTCGAGCAAAAAATTTTTTGTTTGAGTATATTTAAAGATATTTTTGAGCGGAATTTTAATGAAGTAATTTACGATTATTTTAACATTTAATAAAGTATTTTAAAAACTGCACGCAGTTGAAATAAAGGTTTAAATTAAAAAAAAATTAAATATGCTCATTATTAGAAGAAGAAGAAAAAGAAAAAATTCAGATTAAAAAAAAATTATAAATCTTTTAAGCTAACATTTTAATAAAATTATTCAGCAATAGCAAAGTTGTCGATAAAATTGAACAAAAATACTTTCTTTTAGTTTTAGATTTTAAACTTAAATAATTATTTTACGGGGGTTTGTTAGGTTTTAAAAAAAAAGGTTTAAAAATATTTATTAACTGTTAGACGCATTTAAAGTATTTAAGAGTAATTTCGAGGAAACATTTTAAAAATTGGTGAGCGCAAATAAAATTAAAAAAAAGGATTAATATTAAAACGTCAATAGTTTTTCGAATAATTTTTAATAATAATTTTAAAGAATAATTTTTTCGCTGAAATATTTCTTTTATACCTATAAGATTTTTATTCTAACATTTTATTTTATATTACTTGAAATAAAATTCCTTGTTAACATTAAAAATCTATTCAAAACGTTCGTTTAAGTTTTTTATTAATATGAGTGATTGTGCTTACCAACCGCTTTATGAAAATAAATAAAAATAAATATTATATAAAATCGCTTGTAAAAATATTAGCTATTGCACAGTTTTTAATCGTACGATATTAAAATTTCCAGTTTATTACTCGTTGACTTTTTAAAAAGAAAAAATAATTATTTGAAAGATTGTTTTTTATAATTGATGAAATGCTTTAACTAACTTGCTGCTTAGGACATTGAGACTTTGCTTCCTTAGTGCCCCAATATTATCAAATTATATACACATACACTTTAACTCCACAATATTATGAAATTATATACACATACATTTTAACCCCACAACTTTAAATAATGAAATTCATCAAAGTACTTTACTTACAGTTAAATTAAATATTTCTGCTTTAAACATTTCTAGCATACTACTATATTCTCCAAGACTTTTATCAAATGCTTTACTTGTAGCAGTTAATTGCTCAATTTTAGATCCAGTGTCAGCCATCCCTGTTTTTAATGTATCAACATCATTTATAATTAATGCCACCTGGTTTAACAATGGAGAAGAGACGCTTGCACGTGTTTGAATAATGGAGTTATTAAGAGCATCAATCTAAAAAGAAAAATTCAACTTAAATTTCGTATTCAACTTAAACAAAGTTTAAGTTAAATACGAAATTAAGTTGAAGTACTTACAAAAAATTTGATTAACTAGTTAACATTAATATAGAAATGTACACAATGAAATAATATAGATTGTTTTTTTTATAAAAAATTGTTTTATTGCATTAACAAGTAAAAAGCTTGAGCAAAGATTATCAATGTTCGGATAATACTTCTGAATAATTTCTTTTACAAAAAAAAATCAATGATATTTTTGGTTAAAAAATAAAACGTTTTTATTTTTTTATAACACCACAAGATTATTTAAAAAAATAATGCTATAAAAACTAATTGAATAAAACAGTTTTGTATTTGTATTTTATTATTTTTGCATTGCGTTAGATGTATTATTCTCTTATTATTTTTGTATTCTATTAGATCTGTTTTTATTATGTGCATCTAAAAGATGTAAAAACTAAAAATCTTTTAAGATGCTACAAAAATTTAAAGGAAATTCTCTTAATGTTTATAGCTTCTTATGTTTTCCTATTATACCTAATATACCATACACTAACTAATCCCAACCTACGCATATCTGCCACACCAACTAATCACAGCCTATAGTTAAGCTCTTGTTAACACAAAATTAAAAAAATAAATGTTAACAACTATAGCACACATTTCTAAAAAATATTTTATTGTTCTAAGAATAACTATAGTTAATACCTAATAGGGATGATGACATAGTGACATTTTAATCAGTTCATTAATAGTTTTACATTATGGTGACTGTTTCTAACCACCGTAATGTAAAACTATTAATGAACTGAACAAAAATGTCACTATGATGTCATTACCCCTATTAGATAATAAATATAGTCATTCTTAGTCAAAAACTACACAAAATCTATGAAAAAAATTGGCTTAAATTATATATTTTTTACATCATGTCATTTTCAACAATAAGTATAACAAATTTTTTATTGGTGACATGAATGGTTTAATTTTGACTAGTTTATTTTTTGTCTCTAGATACCTACCTATACTTATCATTTTACTGCAAGATAAAGTATGTAAAAGTATGTAAACCTATGTAAAAGTATGTAAACCTATGTAAATCTATAAAAGTATGTAAACCTATAACCTATAAAAGTATGTAAACCTATAACCTGTTAAAAAATGTAAACCTATGTAAAAGTATGTAAAAGTATGTAAACCTTGTATGTAAAAGTATTGCTACCCTACTATTTCACTTCAAGATAAAATTGCCTTGTATGCAAAAGTATTGTTACCCTAACATTTCACTTCAAGATAAAAAAAAGTCACCTTGTATGTATAAGTATTGCTACCCGATCATTTCACTGCAAGATAAAAAAAAGTTACCTTGAATGTAAAAGTATTGATCTTATCAGCTAAACCATTAAAAGCAATTTTATATTGGTCAACAACAAAAAGTTTATCAGAATATTCCTTGCGCAACTGCTCATTTTTTATGTTAATCTCTGATTGGATATTGTCAGCTGTAAACAAAAATTAGTATTTTTAAAAATTTTATATAAATTCACCTCCCATAGACCTAAGAGCCAATACTATGGAAATAAACCATCACTATGAAGTTAAAGGCCCCCCCCCCTTTTTTTTTCTTTTCAAAATCTTAAAATAACCTTTTTTTTGTCTTTTTTTTTATTTTAGTGATTTTACACAGCCTTAATTTATTAAATAAAAATAAAATAAAAACGAAAAAAAAAAAAAATTTTTTGTGAAAGCAAATTAAATATAAAACCATAAAAAAATGAATTATTTCAACACAGCTGAGTTATTTCAACATATATCAACTGATTTTAGAGGGATAGACACAACAAGTGTACATACATCAAATAAAGTTTTTGTTTTAAATAAAAATTTCTTTCAACAAGGCTGCAAGCAATCTATATAAGTAGGGAATTACTAGAAAGTAAAGTGAAGTATTTACTTGTGGTTATCAACCAACCACTATTCAAGTTAGGAGTTACTAAAAAGTAAAGAAAAGTATATACCTGTGGTTATCAAGCAAATGTGGTTATCAAGCAATCACTATTTAAGTTGGGAATTACTAGAAAGTAAAGTAAACTATTTACTTATAGTTATCAATCAACCACTATTCAAGTTAGGATTTACTAAAAAGTAAAGAGGAGTATTTATCTGTGGTTACCAAGCAAGTGTGGTTACCAAGCAACCACTATTTAAGTTGGGAGTTACTAGACAGTAAAGAAGAAAGTTAAAAAGCATGCAGACTGTAGATGCTTAAGAAAAATGACAAGATGTTGATAAGTTTTTTGAGCATAACAGAACAGTCAGTACAAAAAGATGCTAAAAAGCGATCCTAGCAAGATTGCTTATAGCATCTTACTAGGATAGCAGATGCCAACCTTAGCAGATGGTAAAAAAGAGAGGCAACCTTAATTTTGAGAAGCAACCTTAGCCTGGAAATATACTTTCTATTAAAGTCTTTGCAAATCAAATGATAAGAGGTATCAACACTGAGATCAATCAAAATAAAACAGCCGAGCTTAAAATAGTCAAACAAATTAAAAGTAGGCCTAATAAACTTTGCAAGAAACACAATACTAAAGATGAAATGTTACTTAAAAAAGATTAAAACAATTTAGTGGTAATGATTTTTTTTTTTTATGTTGATGAAATTAGCCTTTTCGAGAGCTTATATCTTATCAAGCTGTAGCCTTATTAGACGTTAACAAAAATTGTTGCATAACCGCTATAAATGTAACACAAGTTTACATTTATGTCAAACTTTTAGATAAAGAAAGAGTGCAAAGCTAGTCAACATAAATTTTCTGCATACCCCTAAAATCTTTGCTTAAAAGGCCTTTTGTACACAGTAGTCAGATGCATTTGCAGAAAATAAACATTTTTATTGATCTCTAGCCTGTACTCAATTAAAAACCCCAATGCAGGTAAGTGCAACTTTTAATTCTAATGCATTATAAGTTGCCAGATGCAGGGTGATATATCATGATAAACCTTATCCTGACATGAAATTGAACGAAACAATAAAAGTAAATTATTTCTTTGAAACTATTTTTTTACAACAAAAAATGTTTAAACTTTTTATAAATGTTTTTAAACTTTAAAATAAACTTTTTTTAAGAAATGTACAACTAACATATCTTAATTATTTTTAAGAAAATGTACAACTAACATATTTATTTTTAAGAAGATGTACAACAAACATATCTTATTTATTTTTAAGAAAATGTACAACTAACATATTTTATTTTTTAAATTCTTTGGTTTCCATGTAGTATTAACATTAAGTTTTATTATTATATTATATAAAGAAATTTTTTTAAATGTGGCCAAACTTCAAAAGCTTTATAAATTTATTTTGAAAGTCATTTCTTAGTATTATAAATAAACTTTGAAAATGCTACTATCAAAAAGTAATTATTGTTTATCAATATTTCAGTTGCAACATTATGCTTTTGTTTGTCAACATTTTTATACAAAAAATAATTTTAATAAAAAATATCTTTGTTATAGCAGTTGGCCACTCATCTTTAGGGAGGTGAATTTTTAATTTATAAATTAAATAAAATTAGGCTTAAAGTATAAAAACTAAGAATAGAACAAATAAAGGAGATTATATTATATGTCAACTATGTTCAAATGCAAGCATGCAAAGTTTCCAAAGGACTCAATCTCTATTTTCTCCTAACCTTTGGTGTCCAGGAGATTTAAGAAATGTTAAGTGACTTATGATGTGCAATATGAAAAAAATTCATGAGTTTTAATTACTTAGAACCTACTATTTTTAAGCCTGAAGTTCTTGCTGCCATTATACATAAGGAGTCTGAACTTAATATTTGATTGTTCCTCCAACCAAAAAGTCCTAATATTTTTCTTAAAATAGTCCGTAATCCTCTTTACATTTTAGTAGCTCCTGGATACCAAAAACCAGGAGGAAATAATAATTTTGTGAGCTTTTTATACTATTTAGTTACACTTTTATGATTAAGCAATTATCAAAATTTACATATCATTAGAGCATAACAGACATAAATGTTTGATGTATTAATAAATAAATTAATAAATTGCGCATAATAAATTAATTAAAAACTAATAAATTTCATATTGTAGATGAAAATTACTAAATAATTATTATAATTTCACACAATAAAAAAATATTTTAATTAAAATACAAATAAATTAAAAACATGTCTTATGACATGTATATGAATTAATTAGAGCTGTTCTAAAGAATTAGTATCAAATATCTGCATTTATTTTTGGTATTTTCTAACCAGGCACTTGAAAAATACTTCTTCATAGAAAAAAAAAAGTGGTTTGTTAAAAAACTTTCACAAAAGAGTTTGCTTGAGTGAAAGGAACAACAATCAATAATATTCTACAAATACAGTTTTGAAATTTTTATTAAGAAAGCTTATAAAAAGTTAAGTGATTTAGAATGTACAGTCTTTGCTTCTATTGGTTCAATGGAAAATAGATTCAAACAATGCAATGATGACAACAACATCTGGTGACATTTCTTTTTCCCATATAGAAATCAAAGTAAATTTTTTTCAAGAAACTAAAGCAAGTAAGTAAATATTCCTTATTAACTTAAAAAAAATCAAGAAATGATAAAAAATATGAAGATTGATCAAAATAATGTGACAAACTCCTCAGATAGTGAAATTGAATAAAATCAAGAGTAGTACTGCATTGAATTCTTTTAATAACTGTTTTGAAGAATCTGTTGCAGCAAGTAGTTGGTCAACCACTAACTTTAATTTTAAATGGTGAATTGAAAAATAGCAATTTAATTAACTTGGCTAACAGAATTGAGCTTTGTTGCAAAGAAGATCATTTTAACAAAAATGGAGATTCTTCGGAGTGGCGGCAATTTCACGAGAACCAATATCCAATTTTTGCTGAGCTAGCTATGAAGTATCTTAGTTGCTCACTCATTTAAGAGGAACGCCTAAATGAGTTAATTAAGTGAAATTTAAAATATCGTATTTTGTAAAATAAACTATAATAAAGCAAAAGAACAACTTCTCTAAAAGATGACAAGAATAAAATTTTTTTACCTTTTTGTCAAAATCGAAAGAAATTAATATTTTTATGTTTAAACAATTTATTTTATGCATCTTTATAAGTTCACGCAACATGTCGATCAACTAAATGCCTTTGAAACATGTTTAAGAAGATATTTTATATACTTTTATTTTCACATATATATTTTTTTATTTTCATATACAATTGTATCAATGAAACTCTATCAATTAAACTATCTGAAACTTGGGAACTCTATCGATGGCGCTAACTGAAACGTTTATTTTAACATTTTTGTAGAAAGAAAAAAAAGTAGTAAAAATAAATACCGTTTTTCAGTCTTATTTGAAGCAAATTTAGTTCTTGCTTCATGCTAGTTATACCAGACAATAGAAACATTAAACATAAGCTAGTTGAAACAATAAACAAAGCGATAAGAAATGGCGTCGCCCAACTGCAAATCACCTTCAAACATTGATGTATAGTTTTTGAACTAACAAAAAAAATAAATGCTTTTGTACAAAAATAAAAAAACTGCAAGTATAAAATCTACATTTAAATAAATTACAATTAAAAAGAATTATTAATAAATATTATTAACAGAGATAACTTGCAAATGTAAAACACAATATGTAATATGCAAATGTAAAAAATTAACATAAATAAGGTTATGTCTAAAATTGGTATCGTCTAAAATTGTTATTAATATTATGCATCATGCACTTATGTGCTCTAACATTGTTTATATTTTAAATATAAATATATTAATTTATGCACATTTAAAATATTTTATTCATTCATACATGAATATATGAATGTTCAATTTAAACATAAATGTATGTGTATTGTTTTGGATGGACTGCTATTGATATTTATGATGATTGCTGTTGTTGATGTTATTTATATTTATGCGTATGTTTTTATCTATTTTTTTATTTTACATCATTTTTCAAATCTTTATATATATATATTTTTTAAATCTGATTCCCACCTTAAAAAGGCTAAAAAAAATGTAAAAACTTTGAAAGATCTTTGTTTTAGTCAAGAGGCCTTAGACAAGTTTTAATATAAAACAGTTCAAAACTTATATTTTGATCTGTTTTTGACCTTAGCGATTTGTATGAAATTTTTCTAAAATATTTTGTATAAGGTTATGTACAATTATTATAATTACAGGTTATTCTTTTTTATACAAAATTTTTTAATAAAAGTTTCACATAAAATGCTTAAGGTCAAAAACAGAGCAAAATATAAGCAATTTTTTTTGTTAGAGAAACAATATTTTTATCTATTCAAATAGCATACTTTTTAAATAAATAACAATAGATATTTTTTTCTTTTTTCAAAAATAGATTTAGTACTATAATTTTTTAGAAAACTAAATTTTTAAAATCTTTTTTATCATTATAAAAATATTTTGACTTCACAAAAGTCAGATAAAAAACTTGAGATTTCAACTGAAGACATTGTTTGGTTACATAGCAATTAAATAGCCCAGTGGTCAGCAAAACAAGTAATAATTAAAATCAAAACTAAATAGTTTTAATTATATATTGTATAATAAAAATATGTTACATAAGACATTTATGTTAGATATAAGCACTATTTACTAATGAAAAAAAAACAAACAAAATAAAAAATTTATTTTGATTTTGTTTTTATTTTATTAAAATGATTATTTCGCTTGATTAGGCTAATACTTTAAGCTTGAAGCAAAGATCATAATAGCATAATTTAATTCTGATAAAAATTATATGATTTAATTTAAAACTAATTAAATAAAAATAATAATCTTATTCTGATAAAGAAAAAATAATTTAATTTAGATTTTAAAAATATGTAACTTAATTTTGATTTAAAAAATATATTAAAGTTTGTTAAAATTAAAGCTAATGCTTGGGTTTAACTTAACTGTCAAATTTATTTAAAAATTTTACTAAATGTTTAATAACAATATTTAAATTTTATTTGTTTTTAAAAAAAATTAGCTCAATCGCAATTGTTCTTTGGTTTTCCTTCCTTAACATTTTATTTTTTACTAAAAAATAAATTTTAAATAAATAGCTGCATCAAAAATTACCTCAAAACACGAGTTAAACTTTTTTTTCATAACACAAGTTAAATTGCAGCGGTTATTTTTTAATAAACGATATAAATGTTTGGAAAAAAAATCTTTGCTCTCACAACTAAACTGTTAACAAAATAATAAACAAATAATATTTATAATATGTATGTATATATATATATATATATATATATATATATATATATATATATATATATATATATATATATATATATATATATATATACACATATATATATATACTAGACTTGGACAGGAATGGCGTGCGATCGCACTCTGTAACCGACCGCACTATTATATTTTTTTCTTTACAACTTGACCACGGCTTTTACACATTTTATGTGAATCATACAAGAGTATAAAATAATTTTATTTACTTATATAAGCATGTATTTTGTTGATTAATGGAAAAGTTTTAAAGCATTTTGTAATATTCTTACAATTAATTTTTAAAATTGAACTTGCGATTTTTTAAAATCTTAAGCAAACATCTTATTTTTTAAAAAATTATTTATTTTTTCAATTACGATACGAATGAATGAATTTAAATCTTTTATAATAATTTTTAAATTCCTTACGTGAAACGCTTATTAATAAAGTTGTAATGCTCAAATTGTAATTAAATTAAATTGCTTGTTGGCATTTTATTTAATTTAAATTGCAGGCGTGTTTTATTTATTTATTGTTCTCCTATTAATATGTAAAAAAAAGTTGAAAAACCTTTTTTTAACTAGACTTATTAAATATTAATTAGCATGAAATTAATAAAAATTACTATTTTAAAAAGACAACATTATTTTTTTAAACAATTTTTTGTCTTTTTGCAATTTTTTTGAAAAAATGTTTAAACAATTTGAAAATATTATATACAACACTTTTTAATAAATTTGATAAAATTTGTTCATTTAATAAACACTCATTAGTAGCAATTTGTTACTTAATTTTAAAGCATTTTGGGTAATTTTAATAAAACATTTAAAAAGATTTATTTTAAACCTAATCAAGAACTAATTAAAAGTTTCGCTTCGAATTTAAGTTTATATATTTTATTTTTATGCTGTTTATAAAATTTCTTTTTTGTAAAGAATTTTTATTTTTTTCTTTTTTCGTTAGGAATTATTTTTTCGTTAGTTTCTTTTTTTAACTTTTTCCTAGTTTAAGTTTGCTTAGCGTTTCTACATTTCTGAAATGTTTAAATCATCAAAACATTTAAACCATCGTGGTCAAGTTGTCAAAAAATAAAATCATTTGCGTGGTCAGCATAAGTGCTCGATTGCACGCCATTCCTGTCCAAGCCTGATATACACACACACACACACACACACACACACATATATATATATATATATATATATATATATATATATATATATATATATATATATATATATATATATATATATATATATATATATATATATGTATATAAATATATATATATATATATGTAATATATATGTATATATATATATATATATATATGTATATAAATATATATATATATATATGTATATATATATATATATATATATATATATATATATATATATATATATATATATATATATATATATACACACAGTGACGTATATATATATATATATATATATATATATATATATATATATATATATATATATATATATATATATATATATATATATATATATATATATGTATATAAATATTTATATATATATGTATATATATATATATATATATATATATATATATATATATATATATATATATATATATATATATATATATATATATATATATATATATACACAGTGACATATCCAGAAATATTTTGGGCATACTGGTCTAAAAATCCTGTCTAGCTTAAGAGAACTTTTTTTTTTTTAACACAAACTTAAATATAATTATTTATATATAATATAACTTGCCCTAGTATTATATGTTTTTCCTAATAAAAATGTTAACAATTAAACAAAATAATGTTACATTTATTACAAAATGACGACTCAAACGCCAACAAAGATTCGCCGCTAGTTTTTATTTACTTGCTTTATTTGCTTACTAATATAAAGAGTATTATTTCATAAACAAGCAATAAATATAACATTTAGTAAACAAAATAGATTTATCGCATGGGACGACTGAATAAGCACGAATTTGATAAGTGCAAACTAGCATAAGTGAGAACTAGCATAAGTACGCCTAAAGAATTTCCAAACGTTGACATAAGTGCAAACTGTCATAAGCACGAACTGATATAAGTGCCAAACTTTTGTAAAAAGTGGCACATGTGTGAACTGACATAAGTGCGAATTGGTACAAGTGCGCCAAACAAACTTGCAAACATTGGCATAAGTGCGAAGCAGTTACAGACACTGGCATAAGTGCGAACTAGCATAAGTGCAAATTAGAATAAGTGCACTGTATAAATTTAAATGCGAATTGGCTTAAGTGCAAAGCAGCTACGATGACTGGCACAAGTGCGAATTGGCAAAAGTACGCTGAATAAAATTGCAAATATTGGCATAAGTGGAAATTGTTATTTTGCTCTTATGCCAATTTGCACATATGCTACTTTTTCCAACTGCTTCGCACTTATGCCAATTCGTGCTTATTGCATAACAAGGTGCCGTATTGCATAACAAGGTCAACTCATTCAAAATTTTATTTAATTCATGTTTAAAAACGTAAGTAACTTAGGCTGTTTAAAAGTGTCATTTAATAAAAATTAAATTTAATAAAATTTTGTGGTGCGAATTTTAAATTTTATTAAAAAGTTAATAGGATAAAGAGTGTGACAAATCGACAAATGTGCGCGCATTTGTTAAAAAACAAAAAGAAAAACAAACAACACGTTTCTTTAATTTTGCTTACGCAAACGTTGTTGTTTGATTAAGATTTTTCATAACAAACACATTACTTCAGCATCTTTTTTTCAAAATAATTTTGTGATTGATAGTTTTTTATTTATCATAAAAAAGACACATTTAAAATAAAAAAGCAATTAATTTCAGAGATATAAAAAAAAAAAATTAGTTTTTCAATAGCGTTACTTTTTAAGTAAAATAACTAAGTGTGCTATAGAAGAAAGTAATTATGTTTAGCATGGTTTTTGATGCGCTCACAAAAGCATGCAAAATTTTCAAAAGAAACCGTGCTTAAACATTTTGATTGCTTTTATTGAAGAAAGGGATCATAATGTTTAAGCCTGGTTTCTTTTTTGTAATTAGCAATTTTATGAAATGTTTAAAGCGAATGAATTTATTATAAATAAAATTTTGCATGTTTTTTTTTTAATTTTCTTATTTTTCTTAAAGTGAAGTAATGTTTGTTTGTATATTAAAAACACTTTAAAAAGTTTTTTTTATTGTGCATTTATCATTAATTTGCGCGCACTTTTTTTGCAATTTTGTAAAAAAAAATTTTTGAAAAATAAAAATTAAATTTACTAAGCATCTTTGATGTGTTTAATAACTCATTAACTAGAATAAAAATTATTTAAAAATAAAAATCCCTAACTTGACATAAATCTCTTAAATTAGACGTACGTCAATAAATAAAGATACACAAGTCAACGTTCATTTAAAAAAAAAAAATGTCGCGCCCTGAGATAGTTAAAAAATAGTTGGCAGATGCTATTGTCAAAAGAAAATATTATATGCGTGGTCATATAAGGCATACGACCGCACACCTCTTATGCAAAGGCCTGTGTATTAAAAAAAAAATGCCTTTAAATCAACTCCTTATGTTAGGAAAAAACTAAACAGGATAAACACAAATAATTAAAATGATGATTGAAAAAATGATGATTGTGACGGCACTGAATTTGACTAGAGAGGGAAGAGGAGGATGGAGGAGGGGGAGTTAGGAAAAATGAGGTCGGCAATAAATTGTTGATCTCAAACTGTTATAGATTGGCGTTAGGTTGGCAAAAAAATTTGACACAAAGAGGTTACCATAAAACATAGAAACAAGATCAGCAATTTTTTGGCAACCTCAAACACTTTAAGGTCGGCGAATGCCGACTATAATTCCGAGGGAATTTTTCACTAATTTTGTTTCTAATTTTTGTTTTATCTTCTATATCTATTTTTGATTAGCTTTTAGTATTGCACTAAGTAGAAATTGGCATTTTAAAAGTTAGAATTACTTTTGCAAGGTTTTCTTTCTCTTCAAATGACAAATCATCATCCAACAGAGCAAGAGGAACCATTATTGAATTTAAATACCAACTATGTTTGTATAGACAGTGTAAAACTACATCGACAGCATCTGGTTTGACACAAAGTTTTTGGTAAATACAAGTTGGCATAAAAATAAACTGTAAATTCACTTATTAACCTGATTTCTGTCTTGAGTTTATTGTTCTGATTTACGAACTCAATTTGGCTGGATAGAAGCTGTAGCTTTAGGTAGAAAATGCTTTAGATAGGAACCTAGCATGATGAACTGCTCCGGGTTTTCTTAGTTTTACTGAAGACGGAGAATGGTGACTCAACAAGTTCTGCAAGCTCTTTTCTTCTCTGATAAAACCTTTATTTTCTCTGATAAAATCTCTCTGATAAAAATCTTCTCTGATAAAATCTTTATTTTTTTTCCCCTTTGTGATGTATTTTTGTTTAAAGACTCTTGTGCAGCTTTCTCAAAAAAGGTTCCCTTTACTGCTTTCCGATCAAACTTTATTAATGAGAACATTCAAAAACAGTTTTTTTTTAAACATAGGATTATTTAGTCCTGTGGAATGTTTATCTGAAACTGAATTACAAAAATGAACCATTTTAAGTCACATACATACATGATGTCTGCATGCAATAAGTAAAAGATATTTGCCTATATTGTTGGATATTTTTATTAAAGAACCTTTCTTTAACCCAGTGTTACTTGCAGTAGTATCAAAACATATTCTTTCTACTTTGGCTTCAAGATTGTACTCCTTAAGAAGGTCCATTACACAATTGCACTGATCTTCACCAGAGGATGACGCTAAAGGAGGTAATCTAAGTAGATATGTCTCACCTTCAATATTTACAAGTACAACCAGTCTATCAGTTTTAATTGTTTTTCTTTTATTTAGTTCATTTAATATTTATCACCAAAATGTACTACACATGGGTATGGGGATTCATTCATTGCTTGTTGAACATCTTTTGATATTATGCATATATTACGATTGGCATATTACATTTTCCTAGCTGCTGTAGACTGGCTACATTTGAAATCTGTCAGATCAGCTCCTGATTGAGTTAGAATTGCACCTGTAACTTTATGCAAAACACTTGGAGTAATGTCACTGATTTTAGCCATAAGAGATACGTAACCAGCAAAAACATCTATGGGAAATTCTGCAGTGACTTGTTGTTGAAAAAGTTTTCTTTCAAACAACTCTCCAGGATTAAAATCAGAATCATGTGAGGACTCCTCACTGTATCTGTATCAATCTTAACACTAGCTGTCCCCTCTAATTCTTTATACTGCTGTTTTACATGGTGCTTTTTCTTTCTACTACTCACTGTTGCCTAAAAATATTAAAAGAATTAAATAATTAATAATTTAATTTAGTTATATGAGAAATTGAAATAGTGAGTGAACAATGGTATTTTGTTTAGCTGTTTTTATTTTAAATCTTTTAAAGTAGCTTGCAAATTTTAAGTAAGTACCTTTCAAAACCTTTTTTTTTTACTTTTAAAGAAATACATACTTTTTTTTTGTACTTTATAGCAACTGCAATCTCTCTTGCTTGTTCTAAAATTGAAGATATTTTGTTAGAAAGATCGAATCTCATGAGAATGCTGATGATTTTCAGTTCAATTTCAAGAAAAATCACTCCACAATGTCTTGTACATATTATTTGAAAAAGACAGTTGAATACTATATTTATATAGGAAGCAATCTATTCACATGCCTTATAGATTTCAACAAAGCTTTTGATACCGTAAATTATTGGAAACTATTTTCTAAATTAATTGCCGACCTCATTTCTATGTTTCATGGTCAGACCTTTGTATTAAAAATTTTTTGCTGACCTGATGCCAACCTCAAAAAGATTGAGGTCGGCAAATTATTGCAAATTATTTTTCCTAATTCCAAGGGTTATATATATTTTTATATTCGGCTATTTTTAAGGAAATTTCGAAAAATCCAAGCAAAAATAACCTGTTTTTGTGAAAAAATTACATTTGAACGGTAAGCTTTGAAAAACTATTTCAAGCGCTGATATATATATATATATATATATATATATATATATATATATATATATATATATATATATATATATATATATATATATATATATGCATTGCTAAATAAATAAAACACTGTAAATTTAATACAAATATAAAATTAATTTTCAGAAGCATCTTTATGATAAATAATTTAAATTAAGGCATTCACATTAACTATTTAAATGAAAGATTTAATTCTATTTGTTAAAACAACCCTTGTTTACTTTCCTGCTGATAATTTAAAGTTGTTTAAAAAATAATAATTTTGTTTAAATTGATATTTTTTCGAGTGGCTTAAACCATTTAGTTTAACCCTATCAATCCTGCTCTGAGAAAAAAAAGAGAAGTGCAGCATAACTTTGAAAAACTATTATTTTAACTATTATCTTATCTGATACTTTACAAACATCAGATTATTCTATCCAAATTTCAACTACAAAGGTCTTTATAAACAATCTATAAACTCTCCCACTTGTTATTATTGTTGTCAAAATTTATTGTTTATTTGTCAGTCAATGTAGCACACTCTTCGCATATTCTACCTAATTGCCAGTCAATATAGCAGCACTTCTTGCATGTTTTACCTATACGTCAGTTGATATATGTAAACAGTAAAAAATAAAAACATTCAGAATGTTTTTATTTGTCATAAAAAAATAAAAACATTCCAGTTTTTTTTTAATTTGGGCTTATCTGATTAGTTTCCTCGATTAAATTTAATGTTTCTGACATAAAGTGTCCTTAAATTAAAAAGTTTAATTTCTTATGAAACATATTAGTCATATAAAGGAACCATTGTTAATAGTACACACTGAAATCTTAAGACATAAAATCGTGTTATTGAACTTTGTCAGCACTTGAATTATTAAAAAATAGTTTGTCAAATTACAAATGTATAAAAAGTTTCAGAAAAGTCTAAAATAGTTCAAAAAATTAAAACTCACTAATAATGACGTTCTTTCAGTTTTCTTTTTGTAGCTGAAGAGAGTGGTCTAATTACTTTTCTTTTTGGAAGTTCAAAAAGTTGCATTGTATCTGAATCATCTTCAGAATCTGATTTTTTAAAATTGATAGTTGATTTTATTTCTTGGTCATCCAAAATCACATCAATCATTTTTAATTATTGTAACATTTTTTCTTAAATAATACATAATATTTAGAAAAATCTGATAGTAAAACCATTTTTCATGCTTCAATCAATTATAGTTCATAACACCATTTAATAAATTAAATGAAATTACACACAGATACAAACACACGCACACAAAATATAAAAAAAATATATGTGTGTGTATATATATATATATATATATATATATATATATATATATATATATATTATATATATATATATATATATATATATATATATATATATATATATATATATATATATATATATATACTCTTGCTTGGTCGTTACCATAAAATGTAAACTTTATTTATTCATTTTTTTAAATTTATTTAGAAGACAAGAAAAAGTTTGAAAGTTAAAAAAAAATTTAACTGTTAGATAGCCTACCCAAACCAAAAACTTCAGTTGATGTAGCAGTATTACTCACATGTTCTACCTATTTTCATTCGCTAAGAGAAGACATATAAAAAATATGGTCCAGATATGCAAAACAGGGTAAATTCAGAGCATTTGGTGGTAAGATCTCACTTTAACTCTTCCATGTTATATCTAAACAAGAAAATGACAGAATGGAAACTTATCCAAACCTCATAAAAATGGTACCACTAATTTTTGTGGGACAATAGTAACATGATAAAGTTACCAACTCACATTACTATGAATTCATATTACATAAATTGTATATGGAACTTGGTATTTTGTGAATTGCCTTGACAATCTAAACTTCTAATGTGGATTTCAAGCCCGGGATATCAATCAATGAAATAGTACATTGATGTAAGGCCAGTTAGTCAGATGAAATGTTTTTGGCTGCTTAAAGATCAGTATCGAATTCACTCACTCATGGTATGGTTTCTAAATTATAATGAGTTTTGTAATATAACTTTAGAGGCTTTTTCTGTACGAGTTCCAGCAATTTTCTTTTTTTTTTTTTTTGGGGGGGGGGGGGGGTAATACTGCACAGAAGAACAATATTTTGAATGAGGTCAAACAAATTTGTATATGATCTAATAAAAGCAAGCATAGTCCAAGTCCTAAATGATTGCTTAAGCATAACAAGAAATAAGCTTGATTAGTGTTCACTCAATTTGAGTTGGCAGTTAAATAAAATTCCAAGGTTTCATTAAATTTTGAGCTTTCATCGTAGGTACAAAAGTTTTGAAGGCTTTAAGCCTACTAATAGCTACAAATATAAAATTTTGTTACGCTAATATTGCACATGCATAACCAAGAATTTCTAACCACATTTATGAATATAATTTACTTTTACTGTAATTAATTTTTTAATGTTAAATTAGTAACATGAAGTTGTCTAAAAACATATGAACATTTTAATTTTAATTATTATTAAAAATACAATATGTCGCGGTCGTGAAAATTAATAACTTTTTGATTGCTTTACATTTTAATAAGATAAAACGCATTTATTAAATGTAGTATGTTAGCTAATCTTTTTTTTTTAATATAATTAAGAGTAACTAGAAATCATTTGTTATTATTGATACTATGGATACTGAGCATCTACATTATAATGTTTAATCGTTTCAAAAACAATCCATAAAGATACAAAACTTTCTATAGCGCAGACAATAATCTGTGTTAGTACTGTTCTAAAATAGAACCCTAACCCTAACTAGCATTTTTGTTACATTAATATTCAAATTACAAATTTTATTACCGTAAAATACTTTAACCTGCACTTTAACTGTAAATAAACTGTAACGTGCACTTAACTACTGTAACATTGCTGCTGCCGAAAAAACAAGAGGAATTTTTCGGTAAAAAATGAGGAGTAGGATGGGGGCGGGAAGGGGTGGAAGAAGCAAGTCCTTAAAAATGCCGGCTGCTATCTTGAAAGAAAATAAATAAATAATTAAAATGTCCTTAAAACAAAAATCTAACAAGTGAAATGTGTCAAATGCCGACTAGTCAATTATATTTTTATACATTTTGGCGGTTGTAGGCATTTTAACACTTCTTAATTATTTGCTATTTAAATTTCTTTAATTTCTATGTTATTTTCTGTTTTAATTCTGATTTATGTCTTTAAATATATTTGTATGTTACGGTTATGTATAATTTTTTTTTATATACAAGAGGCTCGGCGATAAGGCAAAATGTGCCTTCTTCTTGCTACAGCCATTAATTTCGATAAATGAAAACATTTTTTTAACGGCGAAATAAATTACACACACACACACACACACACACACACACACACACACACACACGCAAAATATTCCCTAAAAATCGACATTAAGTTAACAATAACCTTTTTTAGGGTTCATTAGTTTTTAACCAATCAACCCTACAGTGAAGGGTATTACTATTTTCTTTTAATTGCTGCTACAACTCTCTTTCAACGCTGTACAATGCAAAACATAAACCAATATATAATACAAACCCGCTGCGGCATGGCCTTTGTTCTTTTTAAACTATAATGTTAAGAAGAGAAATTTTTTTTATTGAACATTTTTTTTTGTATTATTTTAAAAAGACTTTAGTAACAAATAATTGCGTTCCTTTATAAATTATTTTATAATTGCGGCCATTCAGTAACATAATCATTTGATTTATCAATATATGTTAAAAATAATCACTTTTAACATATAGAGATTAAAGATTGTACTTATAGATAACTGTAAATATAAATATACTTTTATATACTATATAATTTTAAATAAACTTAAATTTACTATATAATTTTAATTAAACTTAATAATAAATAAATAATAATAAATAAATAATAATAAAAAAAACTTACATAAAAAAAAATAATTGATAAACGTTATAATTAAAACCAATTATTATTTTTTAATTGAAAAATTGACGCGTGCTTTATATAAAGCGAGTAAATATTATAATATTCGTTTATTTAATTAGCTGCTAAGCGACTTAACATTTTTTAATAAGAATTTCGCTTACTATGCTAACTCTAAAAAAACACTGCCTCAAACGCCAAAGATGTCCAAGATAAAAACTAATAAATAATTTTACCAATTTTTGATTAAAAAAAAAGAGGTAAAAAACGTTGATTTGTATTAATTTGTGTTAAAAATTTTGTATTAAATTGTAATAAAATTTTTTTTATATTAAGAAAACTTTTTTATATTAAAAAAACTTTTTTATAGTGAAGAAATTTTTTTTATTAAATTTTTTTTTTTATTAAAAAAATTGGTGTTGTACTTATCGTTAATATATATGAAAATTGGCATTATTTTATTTTAACTAGATTTTATTAACATTAGTTGGTGTTTACTTTATATTAGTATATTTACTATTTGTAAACATCCTTGAATGTAAAACCTTAATTCAGAAATAAATGATCGATTGATTGATTAAAAAAATTGACAAAATACTTAATCAAAATTCACGAAATTTTACTAATTTTTTAAAATGTTATTTTAAAGTGGCATTCATAATCCTGGCATTATTTTTATGTTCTTATATTTTACTCATAATAAATACTTTTGACGAAATACTAGCATATTAGATAAAAATTAAAACGCATTGCAAAAAGATTTTCAATTTTAAAAAAGATAATTGCTGACTCAGCAAAAGTAAAAAACTAACGCCTCAAAAACATAAATATCTTAAGTTTACATCAATATTAAAGAAATAAATTTTGCACTTATTATTTGAGTAAATTTTTGCATTATTATTTGAGGTTCAGGCACTAAATTGTCAAAATATCATGTTTTCAAATTTTTCATTTTTTTCGCAAATTAATGCCAGGATATCACCTTAAAACACTTTGTTTGCAAAGGACATTCTATAAAATAATACAAAATGTCAACTTAATAAATTGTTTAACAGTTAAGCATTTAATTAATCAATATAAATCATAAACGAACGCAATTAGGTAAACTTAAATAGTTATTAGCACAAATGCATTTATAACTTAATAAACGCAAGTTAATAATACAAGTTAGTATTAATATAAATAATATATTAAATAATACCTAAGTCGGGTAAAACACCTCATTTGATTTTTTTAGTATTTTTTTTTTACTTGCAATGAAAACACTTAATTTAAAATTCAAACGACAAGTTTAAATAGAAATGACTAATTGCCAGAGCGAATTTAGGTGGTGTTTCACCCTCTAAAGAAGGTGATTTTTAAGTTATAGTCAGTTTTTTGACAAATTGTTAAAGAAAGCATTAAAAATAAGAATAACAAATCATACCGCTCTTCATTGCCAGAACCTCCGCCACCTATTATGAATAAACCCAATGCTAAAAGTATAACACAATTATCATAATTTTTTCTTAATGGTTTATAAACTGAAATAGATTCTTGTTTAATTTGATCTGAATAATACCTATCTAGTTATTAGTTATTTTTATGTATTACTAAGATTATCCTTTTATTTTAACTATTTGGGTGTCCTATTATATGTAATGTTGTTAAATTGGTTACATATATTTATATCATTGACAACATTCTATTGTATTAAATAATCCTTTAATCAACTTGATATGAAAATTGAAAATTCATTAAAAGCATGCTGAAATTGTTTGAATTCAGAAATTGAAAGAGTACAAAAATGGTTGAAAGATTAAATTAAATAGCAGGTATGGTTGAGGGATTATTTGTAGTTCTAGTTATAATTATTTCTTTTGAATAGAGTTGTTATCAGATTCAGAGATTGAAGAAGATGTTTTTTGTTCACATTTTTTTGATGAACACAATAAAACCAAGCAGTGTTCACATTGTCAAAGAGTTTCAAGTTTTAATGTGGGTAGTTTTGGTTTTTACACCACTGAATGTTAATGTGGAGGTCTTTTTTATTAATTTGTTTTTGTTTTAAAATAATTGTAAAAGATACCTATCTTTTACAATTATTTTATAAAAGAATAGAAATAGATTACTTATAATATTGTGATCCGATAAATCATGTGTGTAGCATTTGGTCAACTTTACCTTTAGTAGTTAAACAAAATTCTTTAATATCGTAACCTTTTAGGAGGAAATATCAAGAATTGCTCCTGAGCCAAGCCCAAAGAAAAGTACACGAAAATTACCACCAGGGC